CATTCTATATGTTATATCCTTCTGAATTTTTTATACACACAAAAATGTAATGAAATAAATGTTAGGATTATTTGGTATTTATATTGGCAGAGCGCATCAGCCTTGTGCTGAGCTTGTGATTACTGAAGAGAAATAATCACTCTAGACTGAGACTTGTATTAGGTAAAATGAGATAAGCATACACTTTATTGTTTAGGAAATGTGTTAGTGGATAGTGTAGAATGAAAAAGATCGGTAAACTTATTTACAGAAACCCCTAGAGCTGGTTTCTATGTCTGCTGGCCTACTGGTAAACATTAGGGGAAACCCGTGGGTTGCCTGCCTGCCTCTAGCTGGGAGGGAAGCAAACAGGAAGTGCTTTCAAGGCAAGAGGAAAGAAGAAAACAGGCCCCAAAATAACGATTTATCTTTAGTCCCTCAGAAAAGATACGGATGTAGGCATTTTCCTCACCCATCCATCCTTTCAGGTGATTTTGCTACCTGTGTTGTTCTGTTTCCAACCCTAAGAATATCCACTTGTTGAAACCCCCAAACTGTAAAGGCTCTCCCTGCATAAAACACACAGCACATATTTTCTTATACCTGATGGGCTTTATCTTCTTGAAAGGTACAGCAACCCTTACAAATTTCATCCATGTCTGCAAGAAATAAATATTTTCAGCAAAAAAACAAAAAGCAGTTTGCTCTGAATTACAGTGTCAAGACTACTTATTTTAAAAAAATCCTATTCCTATGTGTCTAAAATTTTACATATATAATCACCTCGCAAGGGGCTACTATGCCTGAAGGTTAATCCTGAAGAATGGAGACCGCTTTTTGGCACCTGCACATTATCAGTGTGATACAAAAACCTTGTTGTTAGCCTAGCTAACAACAAGGCCAGTGGAGGTGATGACATTCCAGTTGAACTATTTAAAATCTTAAAAGATGATGCTGTTAAGGTGCTACATTCAATATGCCAGCAAGTTTGGAAAACTCAACGGTGGCCAGAGCACTGGAAAAGATCAGTCTACATCCCAGTCCCAAAGAAGGGCAGTGCCAAAGAATGCTCCAACTACCGTACAATTGCACTCATTTCACACGCTAGCAAGTTTATGCTCAAAATCCTACAAGATAGGCTTCAGTAGTATGTGGACCGAGAACTCCCAGAAGTACAAGCTGGATTCCGAAGGGGCAGAGGAAATAGAGACCAAATTGCTAACATGAGCAGGATTATGATAAAAGCCAGAGAATTCCGGAAAAATATCTACTTCTGCTTCATTGACTATGCAAAAGCCTTTGACTGTATGGACCACAGCAAACTATGGCAAGTCCTTAAAGAAATGGGAGTGCCTGACCACCTTATCTATCTCCTGAGAAACCTATATGTGGGACAGGAAGCAACAGTTAGAACTGGATATGGAACAACTGATTGGTTCAAAATTGGGAAAGGAGTAGGACAAGGCTGTGTATTGTCCCCTGGCTTATTTAACTTATATGCAGAATACATCATGCG